TTTTTTTTTTTTTTTTTTTTTTTTAGAAAAAGTACAAAATTTTGTAGATATTTTATTAATTTAATCATTATTTTCCACATGTAGCTAAAAACACGAGATCACATGCTATTGAGTTAAAATTTCAGTAAATACATTAAAAAATTTAAAAGTTTTGTGATTTAATTTTCTCAAATTATTATTAAATTCAAAATTTTCAAAAAATAGTATTTGAATTAATAAAACAAAATATGTATGGGAAGAACAAATGATTTTTTAAGTTTTTTCCATCTAATTTATATGCTTTAATATAATAAAAATAATTTAGAAAAATAAATAAATAAACAGAAGAAGCAGATAGAATATAGCATAAACAATGAGAGCAGCTGGCGCCTAATAAAGAGAGCACAGGGACCTTAACTATAAGATAATTGAAGATTACAATGATGAAATAATTATTGACGTTTTTTTTTTTTTTTAATAGATATTTATTTTATTTTCAATACCTACTTTAAATAAAAGCATTTGCTAAGCTGTATAATTTAATAATCCGTCACTCCGCTGCCACGTCGCTTTCTATTTTACAAAAATTATTAAAAAATATATATTTTTTTAAGAGGAAAAAATGATAAAACTTGGTACTCACGATTTGCAGTTGTATAATTGTATTAGAAATATCATAATTTTAAAAGATGTTTTAAATTAACACTTTATTTCTCTCTCCTTTTCATTTTTGGAAATAACTTAGTTTCTTTTATTTTTTAAATGTAAGTCTAAAGTTTTCTCTTTTATATAATGAAAAAAAATGAGAATAATATTTGACGAGAAAATCAATTAATTAAAAATTAATTAGCTCATTTTAAAATATATTTTAATATTTGAGATAGAATTATCAATAACTCAATAAATAAGTTATGACAAATTTAATTATATATCTATATAAAAGATATAAATATAAATTTAAATTTTTATCAACATTATTTAAAAAGTTGTTGGGTTTATTATCATGTTTAACCGTGTTTTTTTACATATAAATCCGTGATTTTATTATGAAATAGTCAATATAGTATTACTCCTCTTAATAATATATCTCACTTTACATATGGTAAAAATAATACAATTATTAGTACTTAGTTTTTAAAATACTATTTAAAAAATTTAGTGTCGTATTAAATTTATTATTGTCGTATTCAATATTTTAAAATTTAATTTGCTTTTGAAGGTTATAATCTTATTAGTAAATATGCAAATGAAAATATGAAAACCAATGTAAAAAAGTGTTACAAAATGATAGTTTTATTATTTTTACCGTGGGTGAAAATGGAAATACATCAATTCTTTGTGACTCCCAAGATCGCAGTGTTGTACACTGAAATAAATTTTATGATTCCATTATGGCATGAAAGTGCGTGAACTTATTGTCCTGTAAGTTCTGTAGCCAATCGCAAATTATATATTATTTATTCTTAAAATATATATATATATATATATATATATTATTTCATGCCGATCCATATAGACCATATTCGATTCCACCAGTTTACTAAATTTGATATTATTAATTTATATATATATATCTTTATTGGTCAATTACAAATTTGTATCCTAAAATATATTTAATGATGTCATTATTAGACTTCTGACTATATATTTATATATTTATATATTTATTTAGATGTTATTAATATTAAAAAAAATTAATAAGTATTGGAATATATTTCTATCTTCGAAATTAATATGTTTTTTTTACGAAAGGATTAGAA